CCTGAATTTTCTGGGATTGATATTCCTGAATTTTCTGGTATCGATGTTCCTGAATTTTCTGGGATCGACATTCCCGAATTTTCTGGGAATGATAACCCATGAATTTTCTGGGATCGATAACCCATGAATTCTCTGGGATTGATATTCCTGAATTGTTTGGGATCGATATCCTGAACTTTCTGGGATTGATGTTCCTGAATTCTCTGGGATTGATATTCCTGAATTGTTTGGGATCGATATCCTGAATTGTCTGGGATCGATATTCCTGAATATTCTGGTATCGACATTCCCGAATTTTCTGGGATCGATAACCCATGAATTCTCTGGGATCGATATTCCTGAATTCTCTGGGATCGATATTCCTGAATTCTCTGGGATCGATATTCCTGAATTTTCTGGGATTGATATTCCTGAATTGTCTGGGATCGATATTCCTGAATTTTCTGGGATTGATATTCCTGAATTTTCTGGTATCGATGTTCCTGAATTTTCTGGGATCGACATTCCCGAATTTTCTGGGAATGATAACCCATGAATTGTCTGGGATTGATAACCCATGAATTGTCTGGGATCGATATTCCTGAATTGTTTGGGATCGATATTCCCAAATTTTCTGGGATTGATGTTCCTGAATTTTCTGGGGTCGATATCCTGAATTTTCTGGGATCGATAACCCATGGATTGTTTGGGATCGATATTCCTGAATTTTCTGGGATCGATATTCCGGGATTGGCTGGGATCAATATTCCCAAATTGTTTAAGATCGATATTTCCGAATTGTCTGGGATCAATATTCCTGAATTGTCTGGAACTGATATTCCCAAATTGTCTGGGATTGATATCCTGGGATTGTTTGGGATCGATATCCTGAATTTTCTGGGATTGATATTCCTGAATTGTTTAAAATCAATATTCCCAAATTGTCTGGGATTGGTGTTCCCAAATTGTCTGGGATCGATATTCCCAAATATTCTGGGATCAATAATCCATGGATTGTTTGGAATTGATATTCCCAAATTGTTCAGGATTGATATCCTGGAATTGTCTGGGATTCCCAAATTGCCTGGGATTGGTATCCTGGGATTGTTTGGGATGAATATCCTGGGATTGTCTGGGATCGATATTCCCAAATTGTCTGGGATCAATAACCCAGGATTGTTTGGGATTGATATTCCCAAATTTTCTGGGATTGATATCCCGGAATTGTCTGGGATCGATATCCCGGGATTGTTTGGGTTTAAAATTCCCGAATTTTTGTTTTCAATATCCCTGGAATTATTTGGGTTTAATATTCCAGGATTTGTTTTCAATATCCTGGATTTTTTTGGGTGCTCCATATCCCAGAATTTCTGGGTTCAACATCCCGGAATTGTTGGGATTTAACATTCCTGGAATTTCCTGGATTGAACATTCCTGGGAATTATTTGGGTTCAGTATTCAGGATTTGTTTGGATTTGATATTCCCGAATTTCAGAGCTTCAATATTCCCAAACCGTTGGGGTTCAACATCCCGGAATTCTTTGGGAACATCTTCGTTATTCCCAAATTTTTGGGTTCCGTATTCCGGGATTTTTTTTTTTTCCTCGACATTCCCGGGATTTTTTGGGTTCTTTTCCCATCCGAGCGATTCCCGATCCCAAAAACTCACCTTCCACAGGACGGAATCCGTGGGAATGGAGCACGGAGAGAACCGGGAGCAGCAGCGGGATCGGAATTCCCGATCCCATTCCTGATCCCATTCCCGATCCCGATCTGATCCTGATCCTGATCCCAATCCCGATCCTGATCCTGATCCTGATCCCAATCCCGATCCTGATCCCGATCCTGATCCTGATCCCAATCCGATCCTGATCCTGATCCTGATCCTGATCCTGATCCCGATCCGATCCTGATCCTGATCCTGATCCCAATCCCGATCCTGATCCTGATCCTGATTCTGATCCTGATCCTGATCCTGATCCTGATCCCAATCCCGATCCTGATCCTGATTCTGATCCTGATCCCAATCCGATCCTGATCCTGATCCCAATCCCGATCCTGATCCTGATCCCAATCCCGATCCTGATTCTGATCCTGATCCTGATCCCAATCCCGATCCTGATCCTGATCCCGATCCTGATCCTGATTCTAATCCTGATCCGGATCCCGATCCCAATCCTGATCCTGATCCTGTGGGGAAAGGGAAATTCCAGGGATTGGGGTCGGGAATTCCTTGGGAAGGGCTTGGGGTGGGTGTGGAGAATCCCGGGAAAAGTTGGGAAATGGGAGAGGGGAAAGCGGGAATGGGATGGGAGAGGGAAAATGGGAAAAGGGGAAAAAAGGGGGGAAAAGGGGGAAAAATGGGAAAAAAGAGGGGAAAAGATAAAGGAAAAAACGGGAAAAGGGAAAAAAAGGAAAAGGGGGAGAAGGAAAAACGGGAAAAGGGGAAGGATCCAGGAAAGCTCCGGATTTCCCACCGGATCCAAACTCCAAATCCACAAATCCGATGAAATCCCTGGAAAAGCAGCCGGGTTCCAGGGAGGGAGGGAAGCGCCCGCTGAAATTCCCAAAAATCCGCCGGGATCCAGGGAAATATTCCCAAAAATCCGCCGGGATCAAGGAAACGCTCCCAGCCGGAGCCGCCGCCCGCTCCAGGAACCTTTGGACCCGGAATTCCCGGATTTTTCCAAGGGTCACCCAGCAGAGAAAAGTGGGAAGGGCTGAGGATTTGTGGAATTTGCCTTAAAAATTCCCCGGGATTGGGGAAAAGTCGGGGTTTTTTTTTATTTTCCCAAGGAAAAGCGCTCGGAATTTTCTGGGATTTTGTGGGAAATCGGCCTCTGGAATTCAGGGATGCAAAAAAAGTGGGAATGAGGAATTTTTGGTGTTGATTCGGTGGGAAAAAAAAATTGGGATTTTGATCCTTCCAATCCTTAAAAATTCCTTAAAAATTCCCTTTAAATTCCTTAAAAATTCCCTAAAAATTCCCTTTAAATTCCTTAAAAATTCCCTAAAAATTCCTTAAAAATTCCCTAAAAATTCCCTTTAAATTCCTTAAAAATTCCCTTTAAATTCCTTAAAAATTCCCTAAAAATTCCCTTTAAATTCCTTAAAAATTCCCTAAAAATTCCCTAAAAATTCCTTAAAAATTCCCTTTAAATTCCTTAAAAATTCCTTAAAAATTCCCTTTAAATTCCTTTAAAATTCCCTTTAAATTCTTTAAAAATTCCCTAAAAATTCCTTAAAAATTCCCTTTAAATTCCTTTAAAATTCCCTTAAAATTCCTTTAAAATTCCCTTTAAATTCCTTTAAAATTCCCTTTAAATTCTTTAAAAATTCCCTAAAAATTCCTTAAAAATTCCCTAAAAATTCCTTAAAAATTCCCTAAAAATCCCCATTAAATTCCTTCCAAATTCCGGAGCGGCTCCAGGGGATCCCAAGAAAAACGGGATCAGACCCAGCACAAGGAGATTTGGAGGAATTCCCAAGGAATGAATCCTTCCCATGGAATCCTTCTGGAATTGGGCATTTCCCGGGATAAACCCTCGGGAATTTAACCCCCCCCAGGTTGATCATTAACCCAAATCCAACGGGAATTCGGCAATTCCCGCATTTTTCCATCTTTTCCCACCATTTCTGGCAAATCCCACCTTTTCCTGCCGCTTTTTCCCATCATTTTCCCGCCGGTTTTCCCAAATTTTCCACCTTTTTTTGTCTTTTCCCCACCGTTTTCCCGTCTCTTTTCCACAATTTCCATCATTTTCCACCCTTTCCCCTCCCTTTTCTCACCTTTTTCTCTCTTTTTCCCACCTTTTCCTCATTTTCCCCACTTTTTTCCCTTTTTTCCCATCATTTTCCTCTCTTTTCCCACTTTTCCATCTTTTCCCCACCTTTTTTTTCCTCTATTTCCCACCTTTTTTCCCCCTTTTTCCCACTTTTCCCTCCCTTTTCCCTCATTTTTTCCTTTTTTCCCACCTTTTCCCCATTTTTCCCACCTTTTTTCCCTTTTCCCCACATTTTCCCCATCATTTTCCTCACTTTTCCCACTTTCCCCCTCTTTTTCCCACATTTTTTCCATCTTTTTCCCACCTTTTCCTCATTTGTCCCACTTTTTTCCCACCTTTTTTTCCTCTTTTTCCCACTTTTCCCTCATTTTTCCCACTTTTCCCCCTCTTTTCCCACCTTTTTTTCCCCTCTTCTCCCGTTTCCCGCCAATTTCCCCGCCCCTCCCCCACCCCGCCAGCCCCAAATTGGGGAAAAAAAAGACAAAAAAAGACAAAAAAAAAAAAAAAAAAAAAAAAAGGACAAAAAATGCAAAATCCCGGGAATTTTATTGAATTATCCCAGGTGTGTCCAGCACCTGGCCAGGTGTGTCCAGCCCATCTCCAGGTGTGTCCAGGTGTTTCTATCCCATCTCCAGGTGTTTCCCTCACCTGTCCAGGTGTTTCTATCCCATTCCCAGGTGTCTCCAGGTGTCTCCACCCCATCTCCAGGTGTTTCTATCCCATCTCCAGGTGTTTCTATCCCATCTCCAGGTGTTTCTATCCCATCTCCAGGTGTTTCCCTCACCTGTCCAGGTGTTTCTATCCCATTCCCAGGTGTCTCCAGGTGTCTCCACCCCATCTCCAGGTGTTTCTATCCCATCTCCAGGTGTTTCTATCCCATCTCCAGGTGTTTCTATCCCATCTCCAGGTGTTTCTATCCCATCTCCAGGTGTTTCCCTCACCTGTCCAGGTGTGTCCAGTCCATCTCCAGGTGTTTCTATCCCATCCCCAGGTGTCTCCAGGTGTTTCCAGCCCATCCCCAGGTGTATCCATCCCATCTCCAGGTGTTTCTATCCCATCTCCAGGTGTGTCCAGCCCTTCTCCAGGTGTGTCCAGTCCATCTCCAGGTGTTTCTATCCCATCTCCAGGTGTTTCTATCCTATCTCCAGGTGTTTCTATCCTATCTCCAGGTGTTTCTATCCCATCTCCAGGTGTTTCTATCCCATCTCCAGGTGTATCCATCCCATCTCCAGGTGTTTCTATCCCATCCCCAGGTGTCTCCAGGTGTTTCTATCCCATCCCCAGGTGTCTCCAGGTGTGTCCAGTCCATCTCCAGGTGTTTCTATCCCATCCCCAGGTGTCTCCAGGTGTTTCTATCCCATCTCCAGGTGTTTCCAGCCCATCTCCAGGTGTCTCCACCCCATTCCCAGGTGTCTCCAGGTGTCTCTATCCCATCTCCAGGTGTTTCCATCTCCCCCCAGGTGTTTCTATCCAACTTCCGCCTGTTTCCCTCACCTGTCCAGGTGTCCCCACCTCGCTGCTGGGGGACCCGGAGTCACCTGTGGAGCTCACCTCTTCCCTCTCACCTGTGGGGCTCACCTGTCCCTGCTCACCTGTGGAGCTCACCTGTCCCACCTCACCTGTGGGGCTCACCTGTCCCCCCTCACCTGTGGAGCTCACCTGTCCCACCTCACCTGTGGAGCTCACCTGTCCCCTCTCACCTGTGACTCTCACCTGTCCC